GCCTGTTACGATTTTTAAAGTCTCGAAGAACAAACACGAGTAATCAAAGCCCAGCATACGAGCGGTGGTTTAGTCCGATCTCTACCGACCGCCCGAATCAGCTGACAAGGTTGCTCATAAGCATTACGTGGAGTCATTGAGCTATATTTTGCCTCCAAAGTAAACTTTTTATTTTCGTAAGTGAGATAATATTCATTGACAGAGTTAGTCAACACTGTTTTAAGAAATTGTTTCTGCCCCATGTAATTAACAATAATACAACTAAATGAATATTTTAATTACATTGTCATGTCTGTCAAGCATTGAGTCATAGGAACTATTTCCACCATTATCGTATCAAATTAATTTTAGCTAAAGTTTTTTTTAAAGCATCTGAAAAAACAACATTGATTTCGCGTATATTGATTATTGAACATGTTAGAATGATTAATTTGATGTTTCTTGTCAGATCATTTATTCATACTTCATTTGAACCGATGTAACTAACATCCCTAGCGTAAACCATCTGAGTGTGTGTGTATATATATGTTTGGTGTTTATTAGGAACTTAAATATTTTGACAAGAATGGAACTTAATGGGATTCATCACGTTAGGATTTTTGTATTATATGAAAAGAACTTTATACCTTATTGACAGAAACCAATTTTTAGCGGTAACAAAACTCTATGAAAACGTCTTGATATAAAAGATATTGGCTGTTATCCACTTTAACACTACCATATATCAATCTACAGATCATTTAATTGTGCTTATAATGAAAACAGTTTACTAGTTTATATTAGAAATTTTCAAGTTAAGTATGTATTTTTGAATAGTTCATTAAAACAATTAAGAAGACCATTGTCCTATTGTATAAATACCACATTTAGTTTATAATGTTTTACACTTGATATAATTATTTATTTACATATGTTAGCTTCCTAAAGTGTTAAAATGCTTCCAATCTAATAACGAAGCAAAATACCTTGAAATTCAAGTTGAACTACCAGTATCTGGGGAAACAAGATGCAGGTGACATTGGAATTTATGGATCATGTATATATTGTATGGTGACAAAATGATATCCCGTAGGAGCTATACTGGTTGTGTGAATGTTAGATAAATACTGTTTCAGAATCATTGTAAAACATTTACAGGTTTGATGAATGTGGTAATATTGCTTACTTTGTAATCAAATAGATGGTATTAGGTAAAGTGATCATTATTATTATTTTGACTTTCTTATTAGAGTTCAGTATGATAAATATGGATATCCATATTAAAGATATTATAATCCTACATAGGTAATTTCCTAAATGACTGAGTATCCGAATCTATTTTGAATTTGTATCTACAACGTTGGTTTGGAATCAGGGTTTCCTAAAGACATTAGGTGGTTCTTCCATATCAATCAATCCGGTTAAACTCCCGGACATTCTCATTTTGTCCTCTCAATTTCGTAAATAATACCTCCAAAGCAAGAAGGCAGTGAGTAGGACTTCCCTGACAGTGGCTTCATACGCGTGGCCATGTGTTAGTATTTCGAGAGGGAGAGCTGACTATCCCCACTCTCGGCCGTACCAGGACATTTGGGGACACTTTACATAGTTGCGAAATCTTAAGACACATTCATCTATGAATAAGCACTTAAATAATATAATTCATAACCTATCGCTAGAAAAGTAACTCAATTTAAATTTTTGTGGTGGTTTTATGTTGATTACGCATATTCTAATGTCTATGATCAAATGCCTACATTTTAAAATTTCAGTAATATCCCTACAAATACCCATTTCCTTCATAGTAAATTAATGTCTGGGTTACTCATGATTTTGTAAATAGTTTCCGAAACAACTTTCTATACTTTACATAATGCTTGCATACAGTTAGAATGACGTCCTAAGATAAAGATGTGGAAACCGTGAATGTAATTTTTTTTGATCATATGTCAGCAATCAGATGGTTTAATTATAAATTGGTTAAAAACTAAGACAAGAATAATTTGCTTTCACTTATAATTGTCTTAGAAACCTTATTCATTATAAGACAACTGTTGACTGATATTTCAAATTAGCTCAAAATAATTAAAAGTTACCGTATTAATCCCATATGACATATTTTAACATTGAGTTCATCTTTACATACAAGCAAACAATGAATGGATTTCTCACTATCTCAGTTTTCTAGAGAAATAAACATTGTCCAGGCTCTGAATAATAAAACTTTATCCTGTGTAATTAACCAAGAAACTTTCTGACAGTGACTTTAATAATCTAAAATGTTTATCTTTTTTGTTTTCTAATGTAAATACATGATCTGTTAAAAAATAAATGAATGCCTTACTTACTATGGAATAAATTGGACAGAACAATGTGCTTAACTTTATCACTTACGATAATATTTCCCTTCACTTACATATATATATATATATCAGTTACTTGGGTTGGGATTCAGTCTCATCGTTTATCACCATATTACACCTAATTGGAATTCTGAAGTTTAATTAGATATTATTGATTTATCATAACTTGTTCATTAGTTTATAGCAGTTAATGCTAACCATTGAAATCTATATGTGAATTTAATTGGAACATTGCCTATTTGTATGATCTGTAAAATTAATTAACACATATCTTCATTACCTTAATTATTCATAATCATTCTAACTTCATTTTGTATTGTTTACTTGAATCTTCCTATTAATATTTAAGAGTACAATTGATTAGTCTTTTATTGGCATATGTGTATACTGTGCAGATTGCCTCGATATTGCTTGAAGTCATACTCATTATAAGCAGAGATGAATAGTGGCTAGAAGTGGAATCCAGGAAGCAAGTTTCATCTTATTTGGGACTCGTTAGCTGAGTGTACCTGCATCTCACAGTTGATGTTCACTCTCGGACTCCAATCCAGTACTGTTCGCTTCAAATCCCATCGCATTATCTACTTAGCTACTGAGTCTTGATAGTCACTTGCTTGTGCAATGGGGTGAAGTTTAAATTCATTTGATATTGTTTGTTTGAATCTTCCCATTGATATTTAGGACTGCAATTGATCAGTCTTTTATTATCATATGTGCATCCTGTGCATATTGTTTCGATATTGCCTTAATTCACAAGCATTATAAGCAGAGAAAGATGGTAGCTAGCAGTGGAATTTAGGATGCGCGTTTTATCCTATTTGTGATTCATCAGATGAATATATTACTAAACATCAATAGGAAGATCCAAACAACCAATACAAAAATGAATTAAAACTTCACCTCATTGTACAACCTAGTGTCATGTCCTAGATTCCACTACTAGTCAACATTCATCTTTGTTCATCATAGCTATTATTGTTTTTTTACTCAATGATTACAGTATTCGTTTCATTTTGTTAGAACTAAAATAATTTCTTGTCATTATTGTTGATATTTTGCGGTAAATACAGATTGTAACAAGAAGAAATAAAAAGATACGTAACTTATTTAAATAAGTATTGTTCTCTTAAGATTTTTAACAAGTTCACATTAAACGTTTTGTTTTATGGTTAACTCAGTCTTATTTAACTTGCATAAGGAAAAAGAACAAGAAGTTTTTTGCGGGGGGGGGGCAAAGTAAATAAAATAACTAGATTTCAACTTGTTTTCTTTAAAAGTCTTGTTATCATAGTTCAATATAGTTATTTAAAGGTTGGTTAACTTACATTTTTACTCGCATGAAACCTCATAAATATGTTTGCTTTTTTTGTTTGTTTGAAAACAACTACTTAAAAAGTACTAAATAGAGTTAAGAATACATATTGTAGTGTATCGGTAAAGCTTAATTGTTAAAATAACTGTTTTAATATGAGTAGTAACATTGAGGTTTTTTTCAAATAAAATTAAAATGATATCATTTGATGTATGCAATTATTTGAACATTTGTATATGTATGTGTAGGTATGAGGGGTATGCGCTCTTATACAGAATTTCATAATCACAAAACAACAACCCATGATATTCAATACTATTTATACATATACGTAGACATAAGATTCATAAATGGAAATCTTTACAAACCCATTAAAAGTTTCTTTTCAAATAAAAAATAGGAATAATAATGGTGTTATTCATAGGAACGGTAACGTTCCCAATTATAACATTAAAAATGTATACATACCTATCAGTACATATATATATATGCCTTCATCATCACAACTATTGTTCAGCTTTTGTGTACTTACGCAAAGTGGATCTACAAATGCATTTACATTGTAGTTTTCATTTAATTGTGGTTTCTTTTATTTAAATGACACATACAAGTAACCAAAAGAGAATAAAGTACGATGATAAACTTTTGTTGCGAAATATAAAAGACAACGATACGCAACTATGATTAGTAGCATAGAAATAAGGGAACAAAATACAGGAGAAAAGAGAAATAAGTGATCCACAAAATCTGGCTAAAACATAAACAACAACATGATAGTAGACAAGTCATGGAAGAACCAATCTTACATAATTATAAGCACAGTAATGATAAGATTTTTTTATATTTTTTTAAAAGAACCTAATAAATAATATGGACAGCCAGTGTCTGATTGGTAATTTGATATATAGACCCCGACTAATTAATTATGCAGCTTAATTGAAAAACAGAGTACGTTTTGTTAACTGGTTATAAAACCGGGATATAAATTTCTTTACGTTACATGTTTTAAATGACTAATGTACACAAACACATATACACACATGTAGACGTACAAGTCGAAACCGAGTAAATAATTATTAAACACAAGAAAAGCACAGTGTCTTCGTAGTAGTAGTAGTAGTAGTAGTAATAATACAATTTACAGAATTAAAGGTTCAGTGAACATTAAAAAAACTGGAAGCATAAAATACAACAGATAACTTCTTAGTAACAGAAAGTAAATAGTACGTTAGGAATTAATATTGACTAGTTTCAATTGTTATGAAGAGGGCAATTCATTTTGATTCTTTAAGAAATAACTCATTTTATCTATTTATCTGATTGATAATGTTGACATCTGTCAACAATTATACTGAATAATGATCAAATGATGAAAGATATTCTAAAACTGCATTATAACAAAATTGATATTGATCTTCAGTTTGAACCATACCAGGTCGTTGTGTTCGAAGCATTCGTATAGTTTGAAACATATCTACAATTCCTTCATGTCTCATTCTTTCAAGAACAATGGATAAAGCTAAGAATACACCTGTTCTACCGACTCCAGCACTAGAATAAAAATAAATATATTCGAATAATTTGTAATCAAAGCTTTTTTAATATTCCTATGAATCTACTAAACAATATTTATTAATGTACAACAATAAATGTTAAACTTATAGAACAATGCTATTATATATTGAAGAAGTTAATCATTATTAGTACTGTAGTGATCGAAGACTTGTTGAAGATAACCAATTTGTTATTTAACGCTAGATCACTTAGTGGCTTAGTAAAATGTGAAAATTATACATTAAGTATATCATTTGTACATCTTTGAGTTATCCTTTACACATTTCCTTACTCCTCTAATTCTGTTGTTTCGATTATTCTCAGATTCCCCTTGTTTTCTCTTCATTGTAATCTTCTGCTGCCAAGTATTTCATGTCTGATTGATGCTACATACTAATTATCTCCGTGAACATATGTAACATACATCACAATACTAGTAAATGTTAGCTCAAATTATAATCAAAGGAAAAATATATTGTTCAAGAAAGTAATGGGATTTTATCCTCCAAGAACTTTCTGATACATTTTCTTGTAAGTTGTGAGAAAGAATTCACAGGACTACTAATTAAAGTATTTTAAAATTTTACAACTAATTAGAGATTTAACAAATTAAAAAGGAAGTAGAAGTGTTATTTTGTTCTATATTGCCCACTTTTGCCTAACGAAAATCATAATGGGGAAAGGTTGTTATACACAGTACTTATTAATAGATAGTGCTATCAATCTTCTGTGTAAATTTCATTTTTCAAAATTTTATACTGATATGGATTGTAAGTAGTTTTATATCCAGTCTGACTTGACCAATTGTAGATGAATAATTTAAATGGTCAAGATTCTATCATTAAGTTTGCGGTTGTAACTTTGCAAATACTCTGAAGAGGTGATTCGAACCGTTTCTATCCTTGTCAACCGACATTAGGGATACGATTATTTATTTATGCATATTCCTTGTAGATAATTACGGAGTTGATCACCATTCTGTTTCGGAATAGTATAAGCAATGATTTGATTGCATCGATAAATTCATCATCAAAAGTGTTATGTTATCATACCCAAAGCTTTAACAAATCATGCCAAACAATGTAACGTATAGATAACTAAGATTAGTTCAGATGCTTACATTTTAATTAACTTGTGCAAATTTATGACATATTTCTTTGTATCCTAATGTTCTGTTCACTTTATATTACTGACGAACAACAATCGACTAGTTCACTTATTCATAAATAATAAATGATTTCTGTATGTAATTTTTTACATAAAAATCACGGAACAATAGGCAGCTTTTTCATTCTGGTACGAAAGTGTGCTTCCATAACCCCACCCGGGATCTAACTTGGGACCTTCAGGTGTACCTGTGAGCTCCTAACTTTTACATGACTAAATCGGAATCCAGTGGTTTGTATGTTTAACTCTAATTTATTTGTGATGTTACGGAGTTCTATACTAACAACGAAACAAATATCCAGTTCTTCCTGGTTTTCAGTGGTTGCCCAACTAAGATCAATCCATTATGTAAACCATTATAAGCAATAGTCTCAAGAAACTGTTTCTAGTCAATAGTATTCATAATAATTGAGATTTTTAAAAAAATCACAATTTCAACATTTTAGACCCCTCGACCATTTTATCTTGATATCTAATTTGTTTTGTTCGTTACTATAGTTTGATCGACTTACATTCATTCAAATTCGCATGTTTTATTTAGACCATGTAAAGTATTAAGTAATGCTGAATTAGCTCTATTCTAATAGGTTTTCCTTTAAAGTATTTGAGATGATTTAATGCTATCGTCTATTAAATTATTCTTTCCTTACACAATCCATGAACATTTTTTTTCTAATACTTCAGTGGTACAGTGGAACTTGAAACACATTGATTGAAATACCACAGCAGGATTGGAAAAATCGTATTTTTCATTTAGAAAAAGCATTTCTCCAGTGTTTTAAACATCGGTTTATTGCCCTGCAATCAGTTAGTCACACATTTTATTTTACAAGTAAGGCTAAAATATCATTTTAATCAACTTACCTGCAATGTATAGTAATTGGACCATCTTGTCCAAATTGTTCCTTGGTTTTATGTACTTGTCCAAGGAAATCAATAAATGCTTCGCAACTCTCAGGTACACCATGCTCAGGCCAATCTGTAAACTGAAATTGGCGAAGCGTACGTGCTTGACCATCACGTGCATCTGTTAGCTTAAATTCTCTCAGTGTGTAATTTGGCATATTATATTCAACCATAGGATCAACAACATAATACTGATATCTAGATGATCTTTCTGTTGGCCAGTAAGGATAACAACATTCCTGTAAAATGAAAATGCACAAGTTTACGTTATTGATGTGTAACATTATAACTTATCTACTTCGAAAAAACCTGGATGTAAGACCAAAGGTCCTGAGTTCGATGCTTAGATACGTAGTCGTGAATGCACGTTGTTAGAGTCTCATGCTAGGCCGAAACTACCGTTCAGTGCTTCCACATGGTGGTCTAGCTAAGATCTGTTAGTAGTTTAGGCTGTGAAATCGACTGTTGATATGAACTACCAATAACTACGGTTAATTACTTGACTATAGTATCACTAATAATCAGTGGAACTAGCTGGCTGTCGTCATTTTTGTGTGACTTACAAATATGTTATTCCTTACAATTTACATGGCAGAATAAGCAAACAGCAATCAAACCATTTAACAGGAAAAAGTTGAAGCAAAACTCATTTGTTAAACAGCAGCTTTCATTGTACTTATAAGAAATGAAGATACATCGAGATAGACTATTCATATTATAACTGATTATCAGATTTACGATGATATATTAAAGATAATTTTTTGAAAAAAATTCATAAACAAGCGACAATGACTAGTCTCGTGTTAAATTATACGCGACCGAAATCATTTCTACGACAATTTCTCTTGATTACGACTGCGTACAGTCAAAACTATGTAGGCAACTTATATGAACCAGCAAACATAATGGACTAAGGACTAGATTTCAGACATTCAAAAGGTTAATGAATAGTTCATTTTCACTTTGTAACTAGTTATAACCAGTTTGAGGGTTTTAAATGATATTAAATATATTCAGAATAGACGGCACTGTACGCTGTAATAAGGCTGAATTACTTGTGTGCGGATACATAAATTTTTGAAAGAACTGTTAATACGGCTAGCTAATGAGTATTTTTACGACTTGTAGCGAGTAACAATGACTATAATAGAGTAATGGTTGTTTTAGGTGAATAATACTTCCTGAAAGTGTAATATTATAAATTGATTACTTTCCAACCAATGAACATTAAACTAAGATGCAATAAAAAATAGCAACAACTTACTCGACCTCGTTCATTCAGATCGGTCAACATTACAACAATGTTAGAATTCAATTCCCAAATCATTCTCCAGAAATCTTCCACTGTTTTTGCCATTGGAGCTTGAGTTGCAATATATGCTCTTCGATCACGATAACTATCCACAAAATTAGCATTTATGTAGTCAGATCCTTCAACACCACGTATAGGTTGCAATGGGACACGAGTAGATTCATATGGTAATATATTCAATAGACGATTTTTATTCTTATTACAACCCTGTTGTGCTGAAGTGTATTTAGCATGTGGTAATCGAAACTGTGCCAATTTCTGAAGTAAGAGTATTGGTAACAAGAAAAATTCAAACTTCATGACGAAACTGATATATATGGAACTATGATTATTAAATAGAGTAAAATACGGGATGACACCAATTTAGTTCTTATAAATTTTGATAGTATTTGTTTATAGATTTATACTACTAAGAACTCATTGAAAGTAGATATGTGCTCCTTCTTACCAATTGTTTAGCAACTGAACATAACAATGTTCGTTCAAATGTTCCCATTTGTATATGACTGCAACCGATCAGTCTCTTTCGACATATGTGCATCCTATGTGGAGTGTATTGATGTTCCCACCAAGTAACAAGCATTATAAGAAGAGTTGTATGGTGGCTAACAGTGGAATATGAGACACGCGGTTCGTCCAACTTGGGATTCATCAACCGGATGTACTTGTATCTCAATGTTGATGTTCACTTCCGGACACGACTCAGATTTCGCTGCTAGGCAACATCTACCTCTGTTTATAATCCTTGTGACTTAAGAAAATATCGAGGCAATCCGCCACAGATGTATATATGCAAAAAACAAACTGATCAGATATAGTCCTAAATATTAATGGAAAGATTTAAACAGCCAATACGAAGATAAATTAAAACTTCACTCCACTGCACAAGCTAGTGACTATCAGGACTCAGTAGCTAAGCGTATAACGTGATGGCATTTGAAGTGAACGGTACTGGGTTCGAGCCTCAGAGTGAACATCATCCAGCCAACGAATCCTAAACGGGACGAAATGCACATCCAATATTCCACTGCTAGCCACCATTCATCTTTGCTTATAATGGTAGGATTGTTTTAATTATAATAAACAACATCTTACCCTATTTTGTTTGTTAAAATGTTGTATTTAAAGTTTATTTAGTATGACAGTATTTTATCGATAAACTTCAAAGTATAAAACGTTTGGTTCCTATAATTCATTATAAATGGAAAAACCTAATAACATTTTTCTCTAAACAAACTATATACCATACTATACACATTGTAAGTAGTAAGGAAAATGAAATGAAAATGTTTCTCTTTAAGTTCATTTTTTTTCATTGAATTCATTTCATTTATCAATAGGAAACTGTTTCCCCTCACCACTATTTCATTATCACAATAAACAATTCGTGAAGAAAATATATTTTCAAATTTCGTGTTTATTTTCAATTAAGTGATATGTTATTGTTGAATAAATCTTTAATTAAATGTTTTGCAATATCATTAAGAAGAATCAATGTTAAGTAAGGCTTATATTCAGGATGAAATTTATCATCTACATATGAATTCAATACAAATATTTCATTGAAAAGATTCTTTTTTTTTAAAGACAATTATGCATACTGTGCATATTGTCTCGATATAGCATTATATACAAAGATGAATAGTGTCTAACAGTGGAATCCAGGAAGCGCGTTTCGTTCCATTTGGGACTCGCCACTTGCTTGTGCAAGGGGGTGAAGTTTAAATTCACTTGATATTGTTTGTTTGAATCTTCCCATTGACATTTAGGACTGCAATTGATCCGTCTTTTATCAGGACACTTACCTAGTGAATTTAAACTTCACCCCATTGCACAAGCAAGTGACTATCAAGACTCAGTAGCTAAGTAGATAATGCGATGGGATTTGAAGCGAACAGTACTGGATTGGAGTCCGAGAGTGAACATCAACTGTGAGATGCAGGTACATTCAGCCGACGAGTCTCAAATGGGACGAAGCGTGCGTCCTGGATTTCACTGCTAGTCACTAGAAATCCTTGTATATTAATCCGATTATTGTCAGTTTGCTTATTCGAAATGTGTGAACATTATGTTAGGTGGCTGAATATAGTCAGGATGGAACTTTGAACTTAAGTTATATGCTAATTGGTGCTCGTCAACTAGATGTTGTTCTTTCCTTAAAGAGATTATTTTTCGCTGCGATATTTAAACCTACGTCATGCAACTCAGACTGCAACTAACCTCTTGTGGGATTGAGATACGTGTAAAATTGGTTGATTACTAAGAGGTGAATAGTATCATGTTTATTTTATCTTTCCTAGTTGATCGGGTTTTGTTGACAGAGTTTTAGTGTATCCAATAGTTTGAGGGATTATAGAGATTATATAGACATGACTAGTACTAAAACGCCAGATAAACATGACCTGAATGAGTATCAAATGATCCAGCAATTTTAAATAATATATGCTTAGTAATATGAAGTTGATCTGATTTAGAAACTGATACTAGCTAAGACAGTATTGGATGTTCGGGTGTACTATTTCATTTAAATCTAAGAATTTTAGGCAATTCACATTTATAGCATTATACGGTATTAAACTGACGACCTTTGTACTTCATATTGGAGATGACCTGTTAGCCGGTTCTTCTATAAAAACACTTATAGTCAAAGAAATCATATTTAATAAACATTAGCTAGAAGACAGTATGACCAAAGACATTTGTTTTTTTACTTTTAAAACAAATTGGTCCGTGAATAATACTAAATTATATAAGTGTGTACTTGTTAAGTTATGAATTTAACAAGGTAAAATGTACCTATCATGAACGTTTCAAGGTCACTCATGGAACGCTTTATAGCACGTGTTGTGTTTAATATGCTGTACGTATGAACTTCAAATGCATCATGCTAGAATCTTTTAGCTGACCTTAGTCGACAATAAATTCATTCATTGCTTATCTGACTGGTAAACATATAATGCACTTCCAAAGGTTAGTTTTTCAACTTCGTTTTTTTACCACACCTAGTTGAGCTATATTCGTTTGACTATAATATACTTTAATGTAAAATGTTGAAAATTCATGAAACTGTGCTTTCGACCTTATACTATACAGTAAGATAGAGTTACTAGTGAAAAATAATGACTGGAATGACCTCATTCATTGAACTTAATGGATCATCCCTTCAAATATTTTGTGCATAGATTAACTTTGGAAATAAACCTAATGACAAATTCTCAATGAATTTCTACCACCCATTGTGATTTCATACGGCTATTTACATAGAGAAAATCTTTTTTAAATTTCGAATAGCATGTTTTGAGAACTGTGATAAATAAAGGATTTTTCCCATACTCTCTAACTCAAAATCAATGGTGAAATGACTTGAAATTCGGTAAACTGGTTAATCATTTATTAAAATTCGAACCTTTGGTTCAATGTACAAGCGCTTGATCAAATGTCTATCGGATGTCTATCATTTTGAGTGTTAACCAATGCTTCCTTTTCGAACCTCGTTGTTATTCATATGTATCACCATAAAATATCCATAAATTTCATAATGTTAATAAGATTATCAACGTTAAGATATGAATACAATGAGGGGTATATGTAGATAGTGTAATCTAATGACAGAAGTATTTCATCTAATTTGTTTAAAGGTTAGACTTTCACCGCTACGTCTAATGTTCCTATGTTCCATTTCATGATAAGTATTTAGTGTTAAATGCTGCTATTTGGATATCGGTTGTTTATGAGCTAAATCCAGTAGCCGATTTAAAGTATCTTCATATGAGATAAACTTCAAATAATTAATTTTCAAAAAAAAAAAAACACATTAACTTACTTTAAATTCCAATTCCATACCTGAACCACCAGTTGTATCTAACATACGTAATTTTTTAATATGAGCAGATAAATTTCTAGCTGGTACTTCAGTATTTCCAGCATCAATTACTTCTAAAAGAGCTGAATGTATGAAAATGTATTGATCTTCTGTTTGAACCATAAAATTACGTTGTTTACGTAATGCTTTAACACAACCATAAATATCTACAGTTTTTTCATATTTCAATCTTTCTAGCATAATGTCAATTACAATGAATGCACCTGATTAGAAAGTATATTGTAAAAGAAATTAGATAATATTGAATGAATAATAAATTATAAATTAACTAAATGTAGTTTTTCATGATTTGATAAAGACGAATTTATACGAGCCTATTGAAGCTAGACCACCATGAAAAACGTGGAAGCACTGGATAGCCGTTTCGTCCTGTTAAAGAACTCCTCAGCAGTGCACATCCACGATCCCGCCTCGCAAGATTCGAACCCAGGACATATCGGTCTCGCGCGCGAACGCTTAACATTTAGACCACTGAGACGGCATCCAACAGTGTTAATGTCTAACTTCAACTAATCCACGAAATTGAGCGACGCATCCACCATTGTTTTCAGTGAGTTACTATCTCACAACAGACCTAGTTCAACTCCACTGGTCACTGCTTCTCACTAGAACTCCGGGAAATACTTCTTGAAGCCAGTCCGACAATAGGACGAAACGGCCGTCCAGTGCTTCTAGGTTTTCCACGATGGTCTAGCTTCAGTTAACTCATGATCTCAACTATTAAAATTACTATAATATCCATAAAACCCCTTCTGATATTTATATAACTGCCTTTTAAAATAAAGACGATAAGTTATCAGTTAAATTCAACACTTTTACTAATATATGATTCGTCTATTTACTGAACATTGGTAAGAAGGATAAAAGCAAAGGAAATGAATTTCCTTGGTGTTTCAAATATTTCATGGTATAGTCTGAGAATATTGACAGTGTTACGTTTTGGTTTATAGAATGAGTCTTGAGTAACAGCTTTGAAATGTTATCATAATATATACAAAATATAGACATGAAATATGTAATGCTTATAGGTGCTGATGACATTTATATTATTGGCATGAAGGATATGATTTTTATCATTTAAGATAATATCTCTGATCGGTTGATTTGTTGATTAAATTATACAACAGATCATCCTCAACAATTCACGATTTTTATGAATAGCCTTGATAAAAGTGAATCGTTTCAACCACGAATCAAGGAAATATATAAGAACTGACAAGTATTCATATAATATTATAATGATAAGTACTAGTGTAAAAATTAACACTGAGATGAAGCTATATCTAGTCTAAAAATTCACCGAAATTAGCATCTTCGATTTCACTGCTATATACAGTATCAAATAGTACAATTACTCAATGCTAATGATAACTATTAAGATATTTGTTACGATTGTCATTATATAGTATGGTGAGACAATAAATTGTTCTCTCAGGCCTTCTGTGATGGTTTATAAATTATCATGTAAGAGAATAATTTATTTTCAGAATCAACAGATGTAGGCAATGCTCAAATGTGCAGCCTATAAATTGATTCATTATTTGTTGAGTTTCGACGTCCATAAAATTATTGGATTTCAGTTTCCTAGGCAACTTAGTTACTTCATTCAATAATTAAGCCAAATAAGGAGATTTATTCGATTAGAAAAATTAACTTCCCATTGATCCACGTTATCTACTAAGTACAATGAACTAGTAGAATTTTTATTTAAGAGGTTCAAAGGATTTATGAACCTCAAGAAATAATGATTTTTTTCTTTTGTAGGCCTCATTATAGTTGAACAAAATATAAAATACTTTGACGTTTCGTTCATTGGAATCTCTTGAAATTTGTGAGACGACTGTCCTTATGTATGCAAATCAAACCAATGCAAAAAATCATTATTTTAATGTACATTATCACCGAATTCACTCATTTATAAATACTATGTTTTTACCATTGTGATACAATAAATATATATTATCACTGGAGAGCCTGATGTTGACGCTATATAGGACGATTATTCACTCAAATACTTGGAAAAATTATCTTTAACACTTCAGAGATGAGTGTCTAAATGTTACGTAGGAAAATTTAAACCAGTTAGATAATGAGTTATCTAAAAGCAAACGAGGGAAAGAAAGTAGGTAACTAGGATGGTATGAATAAGAGTAGGAACTATAGTCGATCGATAATCCCTTTACATAAACCATATTTTTCCTATACTCCTATTGGCTTCTCTGTTCTTGTAAGTGTATATATGTGTATATATAAGTGCGTGAGTTTTTCTATACAATGCTGACAGAATTCACAAAACATTATGCCTGTTATTATTATTATTATTATCTTGATATCCCGTGAGATTAAGCAGACCATTAGATACACAGAAATTTCGTTTAGGCTTCCGTATACTGAATGTAATAAATTACAATAAATATAGATAGACTTTCAAATTCATTATCTTCATTTATAGTACATTGCTTAGGCCTTTTTTTTAATGACAATACACATTTCTTTACATAATAACTCTTCATTTAACTATATCGATAATGTAAGCGCATAGAAAAATCCTTCTTATTTTGAAGTGATAAACATAGGGATATTGAGTTTCTAACTCTCATTCAATTTCTGTACAGCGTTTGATTGTTTTGTATACATAGTAAATTGATCGTTTATTCAAAAACTAATCGTGATTAAGGTTTGCAAGAAGGTTTATTTTAGCGGTTTAAAACAAAACATTATGATCAAAGTTGGATAGTGGCTGGCAGTGAAATCCAGGACGCACGCCTCGTCCCATTTGAGACTCGTCGGCTGAATGTACCTGCATCTCACAGTTGATGTTCACTCTCGGACTCCAATCCAGTACTGTTCGCTTCAAATCCCATCGCATTATCTACTTAGCTACTGAGTCTTGATAGTCACTTGCTTGTGCAATGGGGTGAAGTTTAAATTCATTTGATATTGTTTGTTTGAATCTTCCCATTGATATTTAGGACTGCAATTGATCAGTCTTTTATTGTCATATGTGCATCCTGTGCATATTGTTTCGATATTGCCTTAATTCACAAGAATTATAAGCAAAGTTTTATTTGATATTGGAATTGGTAATCAAGTTCAAATGTAGTGTATGTATTGTTATCTTTGAATGAGAAAAAAATATATAGATATATTTGATCTCATTAGAATATATTGTGCATTCGAATCCTAATTGAGAGGAGTTTAGTTATAGTTTATTGTATTGTTGTTCCTATAGTAGAGGAGTTCATGAATTATTAAAAAAATAATGATTCTATACCTTTGAGCATTGTTATTTTTAAGTATAATTTTAATGTAATCTCAAAATCAACCAACTAACTAACCTGTTCTTCCTACGCCAGCAGAACAATGAACAACAATTGGTGCTTGTTCCACATTATGATTGGATTGAAACATATTATTTGTATTCGGTGCTAGTGTAGCTCGAACACGTCGAATAAATAATAATAATGGTATAGGATATTCAGGAACACCATGATCTGGCCACCCAGTAAATTGAAAGTGTTTAACTTCTCTACATTCATCTTCAATTCCACGAGCTGTTAAATGAAATGTACGTATAGTATAATAGGCTAATTCAATGGTATCAACAGGTTTAACCAATAAGAGGCCACTTGCAAATGATTCTGGTCCACGTGATGGCCAATATTGATCACATTTAACACGAGAACGTTCTTCTAATCTAGTCATCATTACGATAATTGATACACGTTGTTCCCATATCATACGCCAAAAGTCGGAAAATGTCTCGGGGGTAGGACCCTTCAATGTTGAACAAAAAACGAACACAATCAAAATGTGAGGGAATGAAACTTAAAAAAGTACAATGTACCATAATACTGTTTACAATAAATATAAGCTAATCCAGTATGTTTCATCAGAGAAACTAATAACCTGAGATGCATCAACATATAAATGACCTAGTAATTTATATCAGTTAGATGTAGTGGTCACCTGTTCTTTGTTGTACTATGGGAGTTTGGACAAGCATTATATCAAATCTACTTTCATTATTTCCAATAGTTATACACATAATTTGTTACAACTATAAATTTATAAGATTTATGATTATTATAGTGAAATATTGATAAGGCCAAATTAGGTACATGTGAAGGTTTGTTACTATTAAGATTAGTTCAATTATGATAATTTATATTTATAAATACATACACATGAATATATCTATATGTATAATTCTTCATAGGTAGTTTGTAATTATATTCACCATCAGATCCAAATTTCTAAAATAATCTGTTGATGATAAAAATGAAATGTTTTACTTCGACTACGAGAATAATTATTAAAACTATATTTTACACACCCATAAATGTACTTTATTGTCCGTAGCTACCGCTTGACTTTACTAAATCGTTTTGTATAGCGTGCAAAACGATCAATATTATGCACATTAACGCAAGACTAAGTTGGTGAAAAATCGTGGTGGGCGGCGTCTGCTCTTACACGAGGGGTAATAGGCGTATGTGGATATGACAACATTATAGAGGCTTCTTCGATACTACAGCGTACCTGCAAAGATAGTCAGTAACATACGGAATTCCTACGATGGATTAATCTGCTAAATTGTGTATGGAGGACAGTTGACAGACTAGTTCGAAGTAAAGACCTATGTCAGGCAAGGTTGTTTACTCTCACCGTTTCTCTTTCTCCTGGTGATCGACTGGATCATGAAACGTCGACATCTGCGGGTAAGCATGGGATACAATGAATAGTTAGGGTATAGCTGGACGATCTAGACTTCGCAGATGGTCTGGCTCTTCTATCGCATACGTAACAATAAATGCAGGAAAAGACGGCCAGTGTAGCAGCAGCCTCAGCAGCAGTAGGTCTCAACATACGCAAGGGAAAAGCAAAACTCTGCTATGCAACACAGCGTGCACCACTCGAATCACACTTGACAGAGAAGCCTTGGAAGATGTAAGAATCTTTACATATTTGGGAAGCATCATTGATGAACAGGGTGGATCTGATGCAGATGTGAAGGCGCGGATCGGAAAAGCAAGAGCAGCATATTTACAACTGAAGAACATCTGGAACTCGAACCAACTGTCAACCAACACCAAGGTCAGAACACTCAATACAAATGTCAAGACAGTTCTACCGTATGGGGCGGAAACTTGGAGAACTACGAAAGCCATCATCTAGAAGATACATGTGTTTATTAACAGTTGTCTACACAAAATACTTCGGATCTGTTGGCCAGACACTATCAGAGACAATCTACTGTGGGAGAGAACAAACCATATTCCAGCGGAGGAAGAAATCAGGAAGAAGCGCTGAAAGTGGATAGGACTCACATTGAGAAAAGCACAAACTACGTCACAAGGCAAGCCCTTACTTGGAACCCTCAAGGCCAAAGGAAAAGAGAACGACCAAAGAACGCATTACTCCAAGAAATATAGACAGACATGAGGAGAATGAACAGCAACTGGATAGAACTAGAAAGGAATGTTCAGTACAGAGTGGGTTGGAGAATGCTGGTCGGTGGCCTATGCTCCATTGGGAGTAACAGGCGTAAGTAAGTAAGTAACGTCAATATCATATTTATGACTACCTTACAATAATGTAGCACATATAACGCACCTAGTTTAACTTTATTTATTTGAATTATTCTAAAATAGAATTCAAGAAAAGGCTGTTAACAATATGCTTGACTCCTGTACGAACAAAGTCCATGTTTGAATACTAAACGGAATTGACTAGTATGACGTGATCAAGTATCACTTTGTCAGATCTTTTCGAAAAAGATAAATAAGACAAATACGCTTAGGTTTTATACTTAGAAGATTGGTCTGTTTAAGTCATTACAAATTTAATCTTTCGGTAAAAATATCTATTTTTATCAGCTAATCAGATTGACCTACCTGAGTAGCAATATAAGCATTCATCCGTCTGTAACCATCGATATAATTTGCATTGATATAATCAGAACCGGGAACACAATCGATTGATTGTAAAACAACTCTGGAATGGTCATAAGCAATTACATTAGCATAACGATTTTTAGGTTTATTCACATCAAGATTAGAATTTTCCCATGTGAACTGTTGTTCAGTTTCAATAGATTCATATTCTTGTGAAAATAATAAATTGTCTGCAGCCGAAAGTCGTGCAACGTGGTCTGGTAGGAGATTAACGGGGATCGGGTGATGCATCGAATGACCTAGGTTTATTTTTTAACCAGTGTGAACAATGAAAACAAAGGTCAACATAAATTGGTGAAAATTTCCTAAATATACAGATTCAAAAGTAATTTAATCAAATATTTTCAACAGTCGATACGTCGATTTATAGATGGAGGTACAGTTTTCAATATAGCAGAGCAACTTTCAGAAAATAATTTGTTCTGTTAAACGCGAGGATTTTTAGCTCGTATTTTGTTTAGGTATTATATACATGATATACTTAGACCCGCTTATTCGTTAGCTTCAGTCAAATATTTTTGTTCCATGAAAAAAACTAGAAAGTATGTAAGAATCTTGTTTAAGTTCTGAACACTGCAGTACAATACAAGCTCGTCATAATGGAGTATCAACTCTAAAACATTGCTATTTTATTTGTCATTTAGGTATTATTATTATTATTACGATTCACATTCACAATATGATGTGATGATTCTTCAGTGTAGTCTAGTATTAGCCTACAGGCAAGCAACTAATAAACATCAGTTCATTTTTTAATATATCAGTTCTAACTTGATCTGTCTGTCAATGAAGTATACTTTCAGTCTTATACACTACATGAAGAAATGAACATGTAGTCCAGGTGATAAAATCAATTCGTCTCTACAAACACAAATATGAACTCACCATCCAGGAACATAGTAACTATCAGAAAGTATGATTTATGAGAACTACTAGATTTGAAATTATACGTCATTGTAGGCTGACATTTAGAGAACATTTTTTACCAAATTAGAAAATCAGGGAACTAGTTATATTATAATTTCATCATAATTATCCATCTTATTTAAAACAACAGTCAGATAACGGATTCAATGGTGAAGAAGACTTGTAGCTCAGGTAGATGATTTTGATGGAGTTTTGTTCTCTGAGGTAGATGGTTTGGTCGTGAAGCTTTCATCGTTCTTCTGAACGACATTATCAGCACAAACTTCAGATAGAAGTTTGGAGAAGAGGCCTGAGTAACGTGATGCCTTGGATCCAATTGTGCAATGCCTGTAAGTGGCTTGATGTTGCTGATGTGATCAGATTTGGTCTACCTGTAGCTGTAGACCAAACCGTCGAGCTCAGAGAACATAACTCCATCAAAAATGGATTCAATAGACAGAAAATCTGAAAATTTCTTAAATGCTGAATTGTCTAACAGATACTTTGTAAAATATTGTTTGATAAACAACTATTTCTGTATTAATCAAAGTAGAGTTCACTAAGTCTTCAGGATACAAACGATTATCATGTAAAAAAAAACAATAATTAATTTCTATTACACAATTATTTACCACCATCATTACTTTGAAATTTATTCCCATTTTCAAGGTGAACACTTTCATCTTTCTTTTTTTTATCTATCGACTACTTATGAGACCTCCTGAAAACCAATATCAATAAAGTCAATAGTATTTTGTTTGCTTAATGTGTCCTGAAATTTATTCTTTAGGTCATATCACTTTTTCTTTTCCATTTGATGTTTTTCAATGAAATAAACTATTTTTTTTATTTAACTGACAAGTTGTTAACTAAATTTCATTTTTTTTTAGGTGTCTAACAATAGTTTATACATAATGATCCTTCGATGTTGGCTATTCTTATTATTGTGAAGCAGAATTCACCAAGTGTTGGATTGTTCACCCACTAATAGGGAACGTGAACTGGGTTTAGACCATTGTGAGACAGGTTAGTTTTACCTTACTAATGAGTAAATCAATGATAATTTCCAAATCTAATTTAATCTATTCATTTTGGTTAAACTTGACCACAATGTTTTCAATGTTCATTATGTTTCATACCGCAAAGTTTTCCAACTTTATGCCTAATAAATGTGTGAGTGCTGTATAGTAGAATGCAATTTTTATTGTAGATTTTATTTCACGCTGAGATTTGCATCATATTTATGATTTCATTCAGCCTGCTGGGCTGTTCTGCATTGACTTGTTTATAGTTGGCTTCTCTTAGTAACTAGATGCTTGTGCTGAAATTCTTAATAAATATTATGCTAAAATATTCAGCATTCACTGACTAAACGGAAATTATGAACGAAACTGTTGGGTATCACACATTTTTAAAAAAAAATTGAAGACGTTGAGGATATCCTCAGTCCATTTTTCTATTGTATACTTATTTGCTTTCATGTCAATCCATACTACGCAATATAATAGTGGTAGGATCACTGATATGAAGAAAGCAGTGTTTCTTTCATACTGGTATCTTCCTTTTTAATATATATCTTAATGATTTCCCTATGATAACTATTTATCTCGTTAATTTAAATGTTATTATTTACCTTTCATTTCAAATGGTAAGTGCGGCATGTCAAATGCGGATTCGGGTCCACTTTCAGAACCTGGTAAGCCATTTCTTGCAATTATCAAACCGTCACATATTGTAGCAGCATTATTTTCACTAACACAATTATTATTTATTCCCATTACATTGTATGCTGCACCTGTTCCACTGCCAGTTAAAGAACTTGGATGACTTCCTGTATGACTGCTTGAAGTCCCACCTCGATGTGAAATAAAAGGATTCATTGGTTGTTGGATTGCTGGTGGAGTATTGAGATTTGTCAAACCAAGGGAATAACCATGGTGTACCGACATATCGATTATTGGAGAAGGAGCCTGAGTAACGTGATGCCTTGGATCCAATTGTGCAATGCCTGTAAGTGGGCTTGATGTTGCTGATGTGATCAGATTTGGTCTACCTGTAGCTGATATTGACGAAATTAATGAGGATTGTGGTGGTCCTGGTGATGAGGCAGCGATAAGAGTTGCACTTTTCAGGCTATCATTACCAACAACCGAACTACCACGTTTGTCGACAGAGGATGTAAAATTAGTATTTATTACTTCTATTCCACTTGTGATTAATGGAAAACTGTTTCCATTAGCTGGGCCACAGTCGTTCATTCGCATCAGTGGTTGTTTCATTGTCGAATCATTTGGAGTTAAATGGTTGATTAGTTTCGGACGACGTTTACGACTTTAATTAAAACAGGAAGAAAAGTTAATTAAATGGAATCTAATAAACCCAAATGTTTTATTCATTATACAATTAGACTTTACGATTTAATATAATACCTGATTCCATAAGGAATACAGCGGTGCTCAAAAGTTAGAATTCATCCAGTTAAGCTTATTTTTTCACAACTTGTACAGGCTACAGGCCTCATCAATAATATTATTGTTTGGTTGGTTACATTTTATTAACAGTTGCAAAAATATAATAAAAACTGTATACTTTAGCTCATTTATAAAGTACAGGTATATGTAATCTGATTTAACCTAAAATATCTTGGTGGAAAATAGTAATATTGTCCGTACAAATGGAAAAAAGTGAAATATGGTTTCAGTCCTGTGAAACACTATTTAAAAGCAAAGTACTTATCTACCAAACAATGTCCTAATTTACATCATGGGTTGGTTTAGTTAAAAAGCTATTGAAGTCTAGTAAACATTTTCATCTTAGTATATGTTTCTTCCACAGTATGCAACCAAGATCTCACCTAGGACAGAACCGAAGACCTTCTAGACTCAAGGTGAGGGCTTAAACTATAGACCACTGAGACGGCATCTAACGTTTTACACGTCTAAATTCAATCAGTCCATGATACCATACGCCGGTTGAGAGTCCTATACTTGGACAAAACAGTTGTCCGGTGCTACCTGTTTTTTTATTGGTTGTATTATTAAGATCAGTCCGTGATACAAACTATGAAATTGAACAGTCTCCACAGCATCCTATCGCATTAAACATTTTCTTCGCAAGAGAAAATCTTAATAATAGTGATAATAATTTTATGTAGAGAAGACTGATATTCTTACCGTATAAAACATCCAAATGCAATGCATATCACGACAATTAATGCCAAACTAACGATTACAGCAACTAGTCCAATAATAAATAGATCTCTGTTTGACCCCGTGAAACCACGTGTTAGGCTAAATCCTAATGAATTACTATTCCTATTATCAGATGCATCTAGATTATTTTTATTTCTGAATTCGCTATCTCTTAAATGCTTATTCATCATTTCGCTCCATGGTGGAAGATGGCGATCTGGTCCGAACCATGAGACCATGCAGATGATGTACATGCTTCTGGGCCATCAGAAGTAGACTGATCTTCTTGAAATACACAGGCTCTAACAAATGCCTATAAAAAGAGTAAAATATAAATAAATAAATTTAATTTTATAGAGAAAATTATTAGTTTGCAGGAGATAATTGGTGCGCTTGCTTCCAATTCACTGTATTTTGAAGATGAATGGTTAGGAGCTTGTAAATGACATTTTATTATCAGTAATCACTAACGTAACATTTACATTACTTGCGGAACTATGCAACATGTTATGGATTCCTATACTTTAAAACACACCGTTTTCATAAACCTAGTTTATTTCAAACGATACAGTAAGCATAGATAAATTACTCTAAGCTATCATGAAAGCCGTTTGTTTCTATTTAGAAATCAATGGGCTGTAAATGAGGTCATTCGTGGTAACATCTTTGAATTGAACAGTGAACAAATGTTTTTAGAAGCTGTTGGTGTGCCCTGTTGGTAAGTACTAGCTAGTGCAAAACATACCTATGGAGTTTTTTATAGATTGATTTCAACCACCTAATATTCATATATTGAGAATTTGTTATACATAGGTAGCAAATACCTAACACTTAGCACTATGGAACACTGCAGGTTATTTTGAACTTGTTGTCAGAATGGAAACATTCGTAGATGTAAGTTGCTTGATTTCTAACCTAAGTTCGATAAACAAATTTTATATAGTAAAGTGTATAAATTCAAAACGTTTCGGATGTTAACGAATAAAGAAGACGGAACATTAGAAAATTCTAGTATTCAATACAAACTAACAACATTTTGAGCTATGTTCCTTTTTAATACTACGATGGCTCGGTATTCAAGTATTAAAATGAAAATATTATCTAACCAGCTATTAATGAATACAGAAGAAATGAAAACAAACCATCAAAGGAACATTTCATCAACGCTTCAAAACATGGAATAAATAGCCCAATTCAAGATTTCATTATTCATTCTTTATAGAGGAAGATACTATATATATCACGACATTTGAAAATCAAGTGTATATTCGTTGTACGAAAGCATTCTTTATTTTTAAAGCCAGGGATAATTCAAAGCACTCGCTTAAGACAGTAATCAATGGAAATTAAAATCTATTTTACTGTCGTCAAGTTACGTATGGGATATATAATTGATTAGTTGAGATAAATGTTTTTGACATCTTTGAGCATACATCAAAGAGTTATGCTGTTAGTAATTTAATGTGAGTGTGAATCAAAATGTAATGTGTTTGGTTACTGACTTCATTATCAACACTAGAACACAAGTTCAACTGGTCGACAAGTCCATAGAAAGCCAAAACAAACGTTCTAAATTCTGCTACTAAATTCTGGCTAAAAATTATACTGAGGTATTCGCTTAATGCTCCTGTGTACTAGTAAAAACTGATGAAAGTCTCAATATCAGCAATGAGTAAATGTTAAATCATAGAAACGGTAATCCCTAATATACATTTAAGCAAAAGTCAATAAACAACGAGTGTTATAATAGTCATTCTAGAAAAAGTAGAATCATATTAAATTTTCAAAACATACTTTGTATTCTTGTCCAAGAACTAAAGCTTTATTGTCAAACATAATTTCTGAGTCTTGTTCATGTTGAAATTCATCATCCGTTGTCATAGTCTGACGTCGAATTCGACTTGAATTAACATGTCTTTGAGGTCGATTTGTTTTTACATTATAACTACCAAGTGTAAAGTTTCTAGAATGTCTTGGCGGGGGATCAAAATAATCTTGCAGGTAACGAGCTGCAACATAACGTGTTTCTGAACTTGGAAGACCTCTAGATGCTGTAATTGTCTATGAAATCGTGAAAAAAAATCCAAAGCAGTATATCAATCAATTACCTTTAATGAGTCATTTTCGTCAGTGACATATTTAGGTTAATAAATTAGAGTAGTGAATACAAATGTGTAAATAGTACTAATGTAAATGTTGTGCTTTGATTTTTCAGATTTGGAAAAAATAGCAATCAATATTGTTCATCATTGGAAACAGCTTTATCAGAAGTACATACAACGTTATGTAAAATACAATGTTTATTTCTATCAAGTTATTCAGTATTACATTGAATCTGTTAAACTGAGTGGTAAATTGAATATGAAAATTAAAACCTCTGGTTCACTGTATCTTATGTAATGGAACATGAATTACCAAGTCAAATAGAATTAATTCCAGGTTAGACATAGTAATGATGTAAATTAACTTGATCTAAAGGAAAAATTATGAGAAAGAATTATTCATTGCTCACTTTATTCACAAATCAGCATCACCAATTAATAGTTACGAGCCCTAAGCTATACTTTATCTATTTCAATTTATTCACCATGTTAGTATCAAAACCTTACACAAAAAGAATGCAGCTTAATGTCGAATACATCAAATAGTACATGGTTTAGATTCGATGTTATAATCGTTGAAAAACGGAAAGAATTCAAAATCTGCTTCATCTAAACAGAGAACTTGTTAGCATATTCTGTGATGGGTCTCCATCAAGGTACATGGATTGCAGGACCTTCTCTCAAGACATCTAACGATATATAACTTAGAATGAATCATTCTGTTCATCGTCAGTTGTGAACTTGTGAATATGCTAATAATCTTAATTAAATCATAATCACATTTTGCTTCTAAATGAATGTTTACTTGATCATTCTACTTAATCATACTGAATCACCTGGTTTGTATTAGTCCTTTGCAATGAGGGGTACATATTCCATCTGGTTGGTCAAGTAATCTCTTTTTACAGACTGTTTTACATTCTTCGTAGTAGTTACTTCCATCCAGTTCAATTTTATTATGATTCGATTTTGAGATAAGCACTTCATTATGTAGACAGGAAAATACTTTTGATATTGATAATAATTAGTATATATGATTCAAGATCAAACATATATACAATCCTACTTCATGTCCAAAGTTTCTATCGGATTATTATAACTGATGAAGATCCAAGAAATACGGTGTAGGTAGTGATAAATTTGGCTAACTTTTCATTTTAATTAGATGTGGTTATTTTTAATATTTTACACAGGTCTAGATATATCTGAAAGCATAAAGAAAATATTTATTTTACTTTGCCCTAATTATACTAAACATGTTTATTAGCTCAACTATGAAATTAATTAGTTACATTATCATTTTCTCTCGGTACTTATAATCCATCGTATCATCGAAAGACACTTTTTGAAATACAAAATTAATATCATTGAACTAATCACTTTAAATGATTGTACTAATTTTTTCTTTGTTTTCAATATAACATTTATCAATAATTTTTTTTAAAAAAAATGAATGAGCAAATGAAACTATACGCTGCATAGGATTTGATTACCCTGGCAACAACAACAAAATGAATAGAAATAAATGGGGTTATTTTTTTATTCAAAATGTTTTTGACAAGATTTAATTCGACAAAATTCTGACTAGTTTTTTTTTTTTTAATTTTGTAATTGTGTCTATTAAACTTACATAATGAATGAATAAAAAAATATTTGCATATGAATACATATGAATAAATAATTTCATTCTATGTCGGCTAATTGTAAAACTTTTCAGAAAATAATAAATGGTCAACAATGAATGAAAATACCACAATTTTGTCTAGAGCCTAGTAGGGTATCCTATTATTATTATGAACTAGTTTGTTATACTGAATTTATCAGTATGTGTCAATTTTCTAGTATATAATCATTTCAATAATGTATACTTTATTGAATAGTGTACAAATGACAACCTTTTTTACAAACCCAAAGAGGACAGGGTTAGACAAAACACATTTTTTTTTAGAAAAGTGGGTTTTTCCAATATTTTTTTTTAAAAACTCTTAATTGTTCCCAGTGTATATATTTAAATGTTTATTTGTTTTGTTTTTTGTTTTTTGATTTCGACAAAATTCAACTTTTATCTTTCACTCTGTCTCCTTTGTTCAATAGTGAATTTTTGTAATATTAAACATATTCTAATGGTTATTACAAAAAAAAACTGTCTCGGTTAACATTGTTACAATATTGTCATTCTAATTGTGTGCACATATCAAACTGTGTTAAATTTTTCAGTGGAAAGATGTAGATACAACGAGTTTCTAACACATCTATGTAAATATATATTTTTTTTAAGAACAGCAAAGAAGGTGAACGTTGACTTAAATATTTTCCCCTAGTCACGTGTATACTATTAAAGAAAAAATAGATAAAATATTAATGTACGATATTGATGGTAGCATATGATTTAACGGGGGGGGACGAATGTGATGTGTGATACTTGTGTCGATAGTATAAGTTGGATGTAACACTAATTGGAAGTGGCAAAACTAACAACAGAGGGCTATGAGGGTTGACTTGCAGAAAAAAGAAACGGAATAAGAAAGGAATTGCGAATCGGAAGAATCATATAGGATTTGTAAGACAAATGACGGAAATTTGCAAATGAAGTATATCATGTATGATCCTCATATTTTATCACGATCTTCTATAATTTTGTACTATATACATTAGATAGTTCTTACCTGTGTTTTCGTTCATTAGTCTAATAGTATTACTGCTATTACGACTGTAATTACTACTGTTTCTCAGCTGATTAATTTACTTTTCAGATTAGCAAACAATACTTATTCTACCGACCGATATGATTGATGAATGAATAATATCTAAACTTAATTGTAAATGAACAAGGTTTTAAATGGATTTGTTAACTAATCATAACCCTTACCTAATTTTTAGCAGTAAAGTTAACAATTAAACTAAGTTGTCAGTAAATTAGTTCTAGTAGGAATAAGAATAGATCTGCATGCCCACACGGACATGAAAAATATGTATATCCATGTAACTATATGTAACCATATATGTAAACATTTCTAAGTATATAATAGAGAGTAATCGACATATGAAATTATCAGAGAATATAATATGAATGGATATGAATGTACATACAAACACAATACCAACATTCAAATAAAACGTGTTTATAAAAAAATGAAATACACAACGATTAATCTTCATAAACCCTTTTTTAAATCTGTAAAATGTTTGAAAGAAATCGTTCTATATCAGCTTATAAGACTTATATTATGGTAGATGAAATCTTTAAATTATCCTCGAAATGTCTTATAAATTATAAATAATTTAAATGTTAACTTTGTTTGCTGTCATTGTTTAATGTTGTTGCATTTGTATTCAGGTATTTTAATATTCTAATGGTTTAAAGCAAACTCTGAAGTGAGTTACAGATTTATAATCCACCAATGCAACTCGAATTCTAACAAGCTTCATTTGGAATATGGTTCAAAAAAACAACACACTACAGTTGGATGGATTTTATAGATTTCGGTCTGATTTATAGGTTGTACTCAACACATATTGATTACAACTGAGGCACTATTAAAAGTATGAAGGCAATAGAAAGCTTCTTATTCCTAATATGACAATTCTTAGAAATTTATATCCACTTTCCGTAGAGGGATTGGATCTAGGACTATCAGGCTACTCAGAATATGCACAAATGTGTATTCAATCAGTTTGTGATACAGTGCACTGGTGAGGAGTTTCCTACACAACTAATTAGTTGCTTAGTGTTTTTCAGTTTTCAATAGTATCTCAAATGAGCTCAACCCACAGTGACTACACTTTATAAAATACAACTCAGTAACCGTATGTTGAATTATTCATTCGTGATAATGAACAACCACATAAGAGGAGTGTTTTGTTTTAATATGGATTGTTTCCTTGTTTTTCTCATCTTATACCGTAAAGAATCTTATTTAAAATACCGCTTAATTCAAGACACATTGTAAAAGTTTTTGTATACGATTCTCATTCAAATACGTTAAAAATTAGAAAGAAATATTCAATAAATTAAACTGAACGTTCGTTTAATTCATAATAAACAACGACTGAATACATCCGAACTATCGAGAGTAATGTTTCTTCATTCATTAGCAAAGTTAAAGTGAAACGTAAATTTAATAAGAATTTGAATGGTGTTTTCTAGGTAATCAGGACAATGTCATACGGTTACATACAAAACGCACTTGTTTGTAGGATTATAATTTCAGGAATTGTAAACTGAATTTGCGTATTTTATAAACGAAAAACTTACGACAACCTGTTATTTATCATGATAACTTTCAATATACCTTAGTTTGTTCCGGAATGATTTCAAGTGATTACAAGTGCTAGCTTTTTAAATTTTCTAGTAAACTACTTAATTTAACATGCTAGTAGTAAATTTTGTCATATTATTATAATAAATGGAAAAAGTAAAAGTGGACTTAACTCAAAATAGTCTTCTGTACGCTTGACATTAGAATTTTTCAAAGAAATGAACCAATCAAGAAAGTAATGGAGTATAATATATTTCATACTTTCAATAAGAATGAATCATTAGTTAGGGAAATAAAAGGTTTTGATGTATATTTTAAGTAAACGCCATCGAACACGTAATCATTCAATGCGAACTGCTACTTTATTAAAAATTACTGAAATATAAAGCTGATGATTTTCTTAGTGAACTCGAATATCTTTTAACACTAAGATTGATATTAAGCATTTGATACTTTGTAAATTATTTCATATTATGTATTGCTTGAACAGGAGCTACACGATTGACCTACCATCTGATTACATCTTTATGGTTATCCTAAGTATCTCTTGTAGAAATAACCTGGATTATTCAGTAACGAAGATAGATCTAATATTTCCCTTTACGGTGCAACAATGGTAAACATACATAATGATATAAGTTATATCGAAGCATGATTTTACTGACATACTTTATCGATTATCAAACAATAAAATCAATAAAATTCTTATGAATTATATGCCTTTGTGTAGTACCGTCTAGGTGAAAACATGTGATATATGCAACAAATGTTCTCAGCGCTGAAATGAGTTGTTACATGTCAAGAGATATTATGAACTCTAATTTCAATGGTAAGCACATCACTCTCTAAATAAGGTGGTTCTTCTCATATTATGAGATTACGGAGATATTACAGAAAGGATTTGAACAAGATCGATCACTGTTAAGTTATCTCATTTATTCATATTAGTACTTACTTATTATACCTTGAGTATTTGAGAAAATTGTTGGAATATTAACGAACATAGACACGTAAAATTCGTTATATAAAAAACCTTTGATGGAAGTATAGCAATTATCCTACAACCAATTTCGATTATGGCTCATTTTTGTTAAGCACTTTTAATAACTTACTTGACAGACAATGTTATTCGAGTAGTTACAATTCTCATATTTCTTTGTGCTGTTATGATCACTACATCACACGACAGACTCTAGCTAAAATGTTGATTGCTTAAATATCATTCGATGATTCATCCTCCTCCTCATGTATGTATGTATTCAGATTCTATGATTAGTCCTTGATTTGCCTTGCTGCGCCGTTTTGCAATTTGGTTATAAATTCGCCTGTGTAATTGCTCGTATGTACTTATTCGCCTCTCCGCTTCAAATATACTCGGTGTGCTTATAGATTTGTGGCCAAGACTAGATTTATGGACGAACCAATCAGGTATAAGATAACAAGTCTCAGGTTTTGGCGCAAAATTCACTCGTTTATTCAGATAAATAGAGTTTTAGCATTATAGCTGATGTCGTTTCGTGATGAGAACTCTAATTCTAGTTTCTAACCTTAATCATCAACTGTAAATCATAATACCAATTCCTCACACAGGTTTATAACCCTCATTTGATTCTGGTTATTAGGCGGACAATTTCAAGGTCAGTCTGGCGTCGCTAAAAGGCCGTCCAAAAATTATAGTCCCACCAGCTTTGTGATCTCCGCAGTCCTCTAATAAATTGTAGTTATCACTTCTCACTGCCTTCTTATTTTAAACACCGTTGAGAATTTATATGATAACGGTTATCGAGGTGATCGATTAACAAAGCAAAGTCACTACCGATGAGATTGTATTGTGAAATAGATTAAGATTGTTTTATCTATTCAGAATAACAACAGTGCACAACTCAGATTTTGTTGAATGTATATTTTTCGTTTTGGTTAATGATAAATTTTCATATTCAATTTAAACGGTAGTCTGACTCATTGTTGTTCTTGTGTTCTTTTATTTTGTTGTTGACGAAATAACAAGTAAATTCGTTAGCTTACCAAAATGCTGAGTCACATAGATTCAATTCCAGTGAAAAAAACATCTTTCAATTTTCAGTAATTTCACAAAATATACATATATCTTATTTCTTTTTCCAAGTTTATTTTTTTTCCTTATAAACACGTTAACATACATATGAAATTCGTTCATTGAAGTTTAATAAAAGGAGTTAGAAATCTGTGATTATTTGGAGAGGTATTGTTATGACATTATAAGCATAGATGAATGGTGGATAGTGGTGGAAGCCAGGACATGCATTTTGTCTTATTTCAGACTCGTCAGCTGGATGTACTTGTATTCTAGAGTCACAGAATGATGTAGGTATATCTAATTGATGAGTCTCAAATAGGACGAAATGAACATCCTAGATTCCACTGCTATCCACCATATATCTTTGCTTAAAATGCACTGTTTTTGTCTAAGTGTTCTAGCATTAAGTATCTCAGTAATTTATAGTTTTTTTGTAATTGAGCACAAGCACATTCAGATAATAATCATCATTGTTCAGTTAAAAAAAGATCTGGAACATTTAGTTTCGCTGGAATTTTTACACAGTTGAAAAATAGGTGACCCAAACATTTAAGCATACTACTATGCACATTGTACTTCCTATACATCAACGTTAGACAATTTCAGCAGTGTAGTTAATGAGTTTTTCAATAGACCAGCTTTAACATTTTTTACTAGTTACTTCAGATAATACGTATTTAATGTGCATCAAATATTAAACAGTGTTATCAATAAGCTCGAAATCTGAGCCTACAAACTTGTATTGATTATATACTCCTATCTAAATACTAAGAACAGTACGCTGAAGCGGCAAAGATTCTAGTTGATGGAATTCCATCAACACTATCGATCATAAAGTATTGCGACTATTCATTTACTAATTTATTAAACCTTTCATAGTTTAATATTAAATAACTGCGCTAGGTTGTTTTACACTCACTGTTGAAACACCATCTCAACTGAATACTTGTTCAACAGTGAAGGCTATAATCTATGTTCTACAAAGAAATTTAGGATTTTACGAAATACAGAGAAGGTTTGCATTAGTAAAATAGAAACTATTTATTTGATATTTATATGAAACTATTTAAAAGAATGGGAATTTCAGCTAAATTCATTCATTAATGAATAAATATAAATAAACATTAAGTTACTGCAAAGGGCGTGACGTTTTGCAGCACCTAAGAAACCACCTTATATATATATATATATATATATATATATATATGGTGGACACAGACTGAATAAAAGATACTTTCATTATAGCTGAATAATTTAGTCCTATTTTGGGACGTTTTGCTTAAGTAGCATGTAATAGATAATCCGGTTTTAAACAAATAAAAACCCTATTAATCAAAGATATATTATAATCTGTGTTAACCAAATCTATTCACTGCTTTTTTTTCCAGTATACGAAATCTATATACCTAAAACTAAGTATCATGCTACTTTTCACCAAGTTAACAATAAACTAGACGTAAGAAAGGAAAACAATATAAAACAGTATTTTTACTTACTGTGTCTATACTTATCTTTTCTGTTGAACTATCAGCTAAGTGAACAGGAGCAACAACTAGGAAATATTGTCGTATTTTTCCATATTGTTCACTAACACGACTTAATTGAAGTAAAACTTGTAATCGACTTGGTGATACAGCAACTGGTATTGGTGTTGGTACAAATGGTGGACCTGTAAATCAAAAACAATTATCAGATAATTTACGACAGGGTATATGAAAAATAAAAGGTCTTGTATGAACTCAGCTTCATATTCATTGAAAGAAAATGAAAAATAACATGTGATCATTATAATATAAAATTAAAAAAGTATGTTGTAATCTTCAGCGATTTCCTTCAAAACAGGTTTGAATTTCTACTGAGAAACAATGGGTGGAGTTCACTTATATCAGTAATGTGGTACATGCATGCAGGTGAGATGGATTGATTGCGAATTATAACTCAATAGAAGTTAGAAATGTGAACCAGAGGTTTGTAATTCACTAGCCTTGAAGAAATCGGAAACTTTTAAGTCTTAAATCGAATCCGTGTTGAGGTCATAGGTGTGTTCGCTTAGAACCCTCATACAAAGAAGTAAAATTATCAAGCGTTCCTTGTATTTTAGTGTTTCTTCTGTTAGTATTAGTCTGCGAGGAACATCGTCTTAGAAAGTCTTAATGTTAAGACTTGAAGGGAAGTTTGGTCAATTTACATACTTGTGAAGTTTATGTTGTCCATTTTGTTTCGGTTTTTCATAAACCTTTTCTTTAGTCTCTACATCTACGTGAATCCCTTGACTTTGCTGAATTTCCTGATAGGAAACTGATGTGTGTCTGACAGCTGTCAGATGAGTTATATATTCCCTTACCTTAATATTATTATTACTCACTTATTATTGGTTGTTCATTGTTGTTGAATTGTGTCGGTTTTTGGTGTGGAAATATATTTACGTTGTGGTCAAGCTAATCACGTGTTCTTGATCTGAATTGTGTTGACGTCCTTTAGAATAGACACTGGGAGGGAATCTAGTGTAGATATTCGTCTATGTTAACGTCCCATACGTGTAAAAGTGGAAACCCAACCGTTATAACATTAGGCGAAGTAAAAAACTGCCAATACAAGTTATAGTCAATCGAAAATTTCACTTGTTCACGGATATTTTCATTTGCTTTCAAAAATTTAAACTTACGTTGCATTTGAGTAAAGCAACTTGTTGTTTCCCAATTGCTTTGCATATTCAATGTTAAATCATAATATGCACTTAACTGTACGTCATAAACACTATTCGGTTCCAGATCACTAACTGTATACGTATAACCAGAATGTAATGCAGCATATGTTACACTGACACTACGAGCTGGGAATTCCAAACGTTTAATTACACCAGCATCATCAGCGAATTTCTTGGAGCCACCAATACGCAACTGTAAATTTTTGTAATGAAAATATATACAAATAGTATTACATGTTCATTTGCATTCACTATATAAAACTTTTGTGAACTTTAAATTTTATGGTGGTTCTCAATGTGACAATGTTTGCAAGGGAAGTAATTGTTTATTCGATTGAAGCACTTTTAAATCACCATGTTATTTAGAGATATCTTAAATACTGTTATGTATTTGTCAGCAAGCCCTATTGTGAATCTTAGGTTGAATCAATGGGCGTGATGTATTTCAAATTTGCATCGTCTAGCGTTATAGATAGAGCTGAATGCTAACATGAACAAAACTCGGGTTCACGTGATCTATGAAATTCGATGAGCACAGAGGACTTAGAAAAACATGACGTTACTTATTACTTAGTAGTCGTTTACTTTCAACTTATTACAATAAATCATATGCTATCTTCAATACAAGATTTATCTTTATATTTTTTTGTTAAATAAGTGGCGAATGATATATATATATATATATATATATATATATATATATATATATATATAGAGAGAGAGAGAGAGAGAGAGGGAGAGAGAGAGAGATTTACAGGAATTGTACTCAACTTGATACTTTGTGTTCTTGTATCCCATATAGGTTGGAAGGTACGCATTACTGAAGAGTATCAACCTAATATGAAACAGATTTCTTATATAATCATGTATTCAATATAGTGTGTTTTCAAGTATATTTGTCACTACGTTAACTGTGAACACAACAGTTTCAATTATCGATGAAAATACAGTAAGATTTCAATTAACTTAACTGAAATATATCTTGATGAAAGTATGGAGAAATTAAGGATACTGTGAATGATACATTTCAGTTATTGTGTCATTCAATTAAAGCAAACACTTGATATTTATTTCAAACTAATCATCTCTTTATTATAATAATGAAGAAATACGTGTTATTACTAAACTTAAATATATTTGAGTAATACTATACAAGAAACATCCAGTTAATTTTATTGTCAGGAAAAATTAATGATAGAACTTATCAAATCAACACCAAAAAAAAGAACACTTCCCACCCCCCCTCTTGTTCTCAATCAAAAATTGATTTATTAAACCAGAATCTAATTTTGAATTTTTATTCAAATGAACAAACAGTATCATTTTGTAGTGAATAAAAAATTAATAGTCTGGTATCTAATTAATAATCAAAATGCGTTTGTTCACTTGTTTGTTTGTTTCTTATTCAATTAAACAAATGAAGTCCTAACTCTATCTTCCTGAAAAGAGTTAAATAAAAGCATATGTCTATTGTAAATGTTGAATAATTTAGAAATGAACAGAGTTAGGTTGCAAACAGTATGAGGAGGAGAAGGAAAAAAAACGTGCATATATCTGTATTTCCATGCTTCATTGAAAATCTAGTAGGATTTGTTTATATTCAAAGGTTATTGATCATTTAAAAGAAAATTTGATCAGTTAAAGTATAGATAAAAACCAGTAAGTATTATATAAATGCTTCATTATAGAAAGTGATACATGTAATGTCATACAAGAAAGGACTTAAAACATCGATATCATTCAGTTGGAACAAGTGGTCCACTTAATATGCTTCAGTATTATCATAATCTAGTGTGAACATTATCTGATACAATTGATAAGTTAGTGTTAAACATCAATATACATGACTATATTAGTCATTATTTTCTACTAGAACTTAGTGAAATTCATCCTTGAAACTAATCAGAATAAAGTTGTGGTAATTTTTCATCAAACAGAAGATAATAAAAGGGACTTCAAGTTTTAAAATATTCCCACAAAACGACCTTTATTATTTTGTTGAAATCTCATTGAGAATACTAGATCTACGTTTCAATATCATGTGTTGTAATTAAATAAAATAATCGATTTTTATGTGATGATAATGAATTGTTTTTTACAAAGAGATATTATGGAGTGGCAAAGTAAGGTAGACATATTGGTCTGATTCATCAATGAAGTCCATAAAATATGATTCCAGTTGCAACAGGAAAATGATGCTTATCTTTATTGCTTATCAGATTTCCATAAGATATGATCATATTTCTAGATTGTCAGCTTTGTTTAGGGTAGATATTCATCATCATTTTCAAAACTTAAAGTGTAGGGCAGTGTTAAAATTAACAGATTGCTATTTGTAACGCTGCACGATCAACTCTATATAAAACAGTTAGGCAGTATTCTTTATTTTGAACAAATATTGTCGTTCAAAGTTTATTTCTTAAACTTGGAATTATTAAATGAGTTAAATTACATTTATTTTCAAATTGTATAAAGTTCCTCATTCTCTGATATTAGAACTGTATACTATAGTATACCACATTAACTCACCTATACTAGAAGCCCTCTTAGAACTCGATCAGCACCAAATGTTCGATAAGGTGACGTTTAACTTACCTCTTCATATACTTTGTTATAAATAGTACGATCGACTAATTTTTGTTACTTCCAAATAAGTGATTATTGGTGTTAATATTATCATTATCAAGTTTGCGTTCCCTGTGTTATGAATAAGGTTATACATGAATAGTGTTAGTAATCTTGCATAAGTTTTAGATTTCATATCTTCATGAATAAACTGAATAATAATATGTTTTAAACTAAGTCATATGTTCATTGACTTTCTCTCTGAATTTCCTATGCCAATATAATTTCTTTGTCAAGTTTCTACTTTGAAAAAAATGTATCTCAACTGGAAAACTTGAGTAGTCGAAAATATTTATTGCCAAAATGTTAAGATTGATTTCATAAAAGACGAAAATAATTGAAGTAAGTATATTAAAAATCAGTAACGAAGTGATAGCCAACAAACGAAACCACTGGGTTTGACTAGAATTAAGGACTAAACAAACATGACAGTCACAAGTCAACGATCAGGAAACTTGTAAATATCTCAGTCCTACATGTGGTCAATTGTAGTCCATATGACTCAGTAGTAACATATCAGAGTGTGAAGCTAGATGACACAGATTCAAAACCTTCATCAATTACTGTCTCTCTCAAGATTGTAAGATTTTTTTACTGGTTATCTCCGTTCGCCTTACATCAAAACATAATGCACGAGATTTCTAGTCATTTACTCACTGTTACACACATTACAAAGTGATAGACAGGATTCGTTATAAATGTAAAAGACTAGATGAGCATGCCATTGAATATTATCAATTTAACAACAAATATAAATTTGTAAATTTATTCAAGAGCTATAATACGTAATATCAGATAACGAATAATCAAAAACTTAAGTGAACATAATCTGATATTCAGTGATCTATCATTGTTGTTGATTCTTCCATTTATTAGGTAAACAGTTTAAGTACATTCACAAAAATGAACCATATTCCTATAAATTTACATTGTTCTATTTTGTCTTCTAACTTTGCATATAAGTTTCATTGTTATCAAATATCAGGTTAAATAAAATTTCTATATACAATATACAAACCAGAAAGTGGAGCTTTTAACATTGAAGCTTATTTAGTTTTTCCTTTTATTTTATTTTCTTCTTTAAAACATTCGTTTGTTTCTATGTAAACAATTACATTTGTGCGTGTTATTTAAAATGATAAATGATAAAGTTTATAATTTTTCACTTTTCTTTCAGTTTTTTGTTTTCGACTAAACCTTATCAAAGTAAGAATAGTTGAAATTAGTAGTATAGTATAGTAGTATAGTAATATACAAATAAAAATTCAATATACATAAATTATGACCATAAACTAGGAATGTTTAAATATGAATAAGGTGTTATTGAATATAGTCTAATATGTTAAGGACTTTTCAGGGGCACTTCTCATATCAAAACATCAAATACTGAAGGAAAATTTTTGAAAGAAAAAAACAAATAAATTCCGACAACATAAATCATTGACAATTTGATTTGGTTTCTTGGCTTGGAGAAATATTCGCAAGTATATACACTATTGGTGATTTACAGTTCTAGATTTAGAATGAGTATATATATATACACTTACATAGAAGTCTAATTTATGGGTTATATTCGTGATAAATTCCTAGCTAGTTGTACATACATTTTATCTATGTCATTTCCCTATTTTCTTTATTCATCTTTTTTTTTCTCATAAAGATTTTGATAAATAGCATAAAGCTCATCTATGCAGCAAGATAATTTCTAGTAAAAATTCCGAATTATCATTGAAAAGGATACTACTACTGTTCAGTGGATGTTTCCCTTTTTATTATGAAAAAAAATAGTAGTCAAGTTATAAACTGAGTAGTTGATTGTTAAAATATAAATGAATAGATAAGGCTTATAATATTTAATGTTTCAATGGTAAATGAATTAGAACTAACCTAACCTCTATGGATGAATTAAATTTTCACTCAAGCTAATAAATGATTTGTAAAACTAATACTATAAGTCATGGTGAATTGTAATAATAATACAAAAATATTGTGGTTTATACTATTTCTTTCGATAAATATAAGTAGTATTTAACACCAGTTAAAAGTGGAAAATCTTGCAACAGAAGTTTGAAGAAATCTAATAAAAGAGAATAGGAACAAAGGGTAATAGGAATGAAAGAACAATAAACTCTGAGACAATTAATGGAAATTTTACAAATGAAGGATTGAACGTATGGTTTTTACATTTTAGCAAAAAACTCTATATTTTTGTGCTAAAATACATTTGGTCGTCCTCACCTGTACTTTCATTCATTACAATATGAGTATTATTTGTGGAGAATGTATTTTGTATAAATGACATCCAGTTCTTGTCTATTATTTGGTTCAATAAAACAAGTTCAGGATAGTATGATTTATAGTGCTACATTTAAGACATTCCATATCATCAAATCAATGTTTACATTTTGAGTAACTTAAATTAGATAAAAGGTTAGTGAATATGACAACAAACATTATATGGTAGTATAAACATATATAAGTTAATGAACACTGACAATATCTTGACTTTCTTAGTTCGTATAAGAATCTTTTCTTTAATTAAACGACCTCTAGGCGATTCAAATTGTT